AATAATAATAATAATAATAATAATAATAATAGCAATAATAATATTCACAACCTTTTTGTAATTTTTTTATGTTTTGCTTCTCCAAAAGGGGAATGGCTAGCCGCCCAATCCATCCCCCCCTCCCCGTAAATGCACCCCTTTTTATATGGGTGTGTACTACCCCAGATAGTATGAGTTTTGGGTTGTTTTGTCTGAAAACTGGACAAAGAATTTGCTCTTGTCTGAAACTAGCTGGAACTTCAGTGATACCACAAGACCTTCTATGGAATGCTTTTATTTTAAGTTGAGCTGTAATAACATGTCCCAAAATCTCACATCGGGCCCGGAAAGATGGTTTTTGGAGGATGATTGGGGGAGGTTTTAATCTTTTTCCAAGCAGATTTTTTTTTATTTATATATAAAGCAAAAATTTGTCCTTGGCTTGGCTGTCATCATTGGTTAAATAAAAGGGCACATGAACATGGAAAGCCTGTTCAATAATAGGGAGGGGGATGAATAGGTTTTCAGATTGACAGATTTGGCCTTAAAAAGTGCACGGATTGTGGATTTTTGCGTTAAATTGAGTGGATTCGTGGATTTTGAAAACACAGTGGATCGTGAATCAGCTGTGAATTTTGGCGCGGATTGCGGATTCTGCCTGTCTTGATGTTCGGATCTTAGGTCCTAAATGAAATTTGGATCATAGATCTTTCTTCATGCTTGGTTGGTATATTAATGAGTTCATCCAAATTATTTTTTTTTCCAACGAAGCTCATTTAAACAGTCATTGGAATTGTACTGTGTTATAGTCATCAATCATGTTGCCTTCTTTACTATTTGTGCAAAATTAACAATGGCATTCACATTTACCAGTTTACCTTTGAACTTTTACACTTCTGTTTCTGGATGTGATTGTGGTTTCGGATTTGAACAAAAATATTGGCGGATCGATTGATTTGGCGAAAAAATGGCATGGATCGGTGGATTTGCATACCCCCTATTCACCCCTCTCAATAAGCATGTATGACTTTGATTGACACTGAGGGTCCACTTGAAGGCTTTTAACCAACAAAAATTATACAACTTTGTACCACACCCCACCCAATTTTCTTGACCCATTAAAAGAGTGACTTTTTATGA